CACTTAGCAAGGAGAAAATTTTGGTGGCCAAAAATGAAAGCAGACATGGAGGACTACATAAAAAGCTGCTGCACTTGTGCAGTCAGGAAAGTGAGACCAGGAAAAACCCCTGGTTTACTTCAACCAGTAGCCAACATAGGAGGAGATCGCTATGGGTTTTATAGTTGAACTCCCCGAGAGTGGAGGGAACACTGTCATTTGGACACTGATCTATTCTCTAAGCAAGCTTATTTCATCGCTTGCTCTCGGCTAAAAAAACTGGCACAAATGTTCATCAAGCATATTTATAGACTGCATGGAGTGCCTCATCGAGTCATTTCCGACAGCAAAGTTCTGGAAGGAATTCCTACGATCCATTGGATCCTCTCAAGGACTGAGCTTGGCTTTCCATCCAAACTTAAGGAAAGAGTTACCAAAATATTTTCAGCATGTCAATTGTCCCACTAGAGGCAAGAATACTTTAGACCATTGCTACGCAACACTAAAAGAAGCTTATCAATCTTTACCACGAGCAGCTGTAGGACACTCTGATCATTGCATGATTCACCTTGTACCTGCTTACAGGCAAAGACTTAAAACCACAAAACCAACAAATCAGTGAAGACATGGACTGAGGAGGCAAAGTTAAAGCTACAGGCTTGCTTTGACTGCACTGATTGGAATATTTTTGAAGATACCTCTGCAGACCTGGATGAACTCACAGAAACTATAACATCATATGTCAGCTTCTGTGAAGACCTATGTGTACTGACCAGGAACTTGCAAATATACAGTAACAACAAACCTTGGTTCACAGCTAAACTTAAGCAGCTACATCATTCCAAAGAGGAAGCCTACAGAAAAGGTGATAAAATGCTGTACAATCAGGCCAGAAATGTATTAAGATCAGAGCAGCAAAAAGAAGCTACTCTGAAAAGCTAAAGAATCAGTTCTCAACAAGTGAACCAGCAAACATGTGGAAAATGCTTAAAAATATCACCGGCTATGGCAAACCTCTTTCCCAAGCTGAAGGAAATCAACAACTGGGAGATGACCTGAACATGTTTTACTGCAGGTTTGAAAGGAAACTACAGCCACCTATCTCCACAAATCCCATCTCGGACACACTAACAACAGCAAAGCCTGTTAAGGATATTGTTGTGTTACCAACCAGCAGAGCAAGTGCACAGAGAAACGGTACTGAGAGCAATGAATACAATACATACAAACTGGTTTAACAAAGCTTTTACTTTGTAGTGAAAAACAATTGCATAATTCTTTTAGTCAATCCAAATCAGTCCGATAATCAGTTACAGATATCTTCTTACCATACAAACAGCAGTAGGTAATAAACAACAATTCAACGCTGATAACAAATCACGATGGTAGCAGATCCATCCACTTCTTCACACACGACGGTAACAGTTTCAACCAACAAGTTAAGCAATAAGTCAAGCAACAATGACTATAGCTCGGCTCTCTCCTTATATACAGTTTACACTAGTAATTATCCACTTAAAATAAGTGAAGTCAGCAGTGCAATGACTCAACAGTACAATTAGGATAAATGCAGTCAGCAGTCAGTCAGCAGTCAATTACAATGACTCAGTACAATTACTCAGCATTATATCTTAAAGCTACAGAATACATTTAAAGTGATAGAACACATATATTGCCTGGACAACTTGTTAGGCTTATACCATATCCTAACATTCTCCCCTTTGGACAGGCTAATATATCCCTGTTCAAATTCTCAAGCCATAGCTTTCACAACATATTTTATGTTTAATTGCACCCTGCGCTTTGGTGAAACTATCAGCAACATTGTTTTCAGACATACAATATTCTAACTGAACCATATTATTTTGAATACTCTGACGAACATTCAAATAACGAATATCAGTATATTTCGATCTTGTCTTAACTGCTAAATTTGTTGCCATTTTTATAGGAGCTTGGTTATCCTCATAAATTACAATAGGATAATCTACCTTTAATCCTACATCAATCATTAACTGTTTATAATAAATTAAATCAGTACATACTAATGACAAACAGGAAAATTCTGCTTCCATAGTGGATAAACTAATATGTTTCTGCCTTATTGACTTCCATCCTATTAAACAATTACCTAACATTATTGCAATACCTGATGTAGACTTTCTGGTGGTCAAATCAGTAGCAAAACTAGCATCAGCATATGCAGTCAGTGTAAGATCACGGTTAGGTTCTAAATATAATGCATAATGCATTGTCATCTTTAAATATCTTAATATCCGTTTTGCGGCTTGCCAATGCCTATCTGTTGGCTCTGCAATATACCTTGCTAATTGGTTTACGCTATACGAAATATCAGATCTCGACCAATTGCTAATATATGATAGACTCCCTATCAGCGATTGATAGATCTCCTTACTAAATCCAGGACTTTGGATTTCTTCATGTTGAAAATCCTGTGCCATTGGGTTTTAGCTGGCTTACATAGCTCCATGCTATAACATTTCAACATCTGGCTTATCTTGCTAGTTTATACCCTCTAGCTGTTTGAACAATATCAAGACCTAAATAGTGTCTAATATGTCCCAAATTTCTAATTTTGAATTTCTCTTGTAACTGTCTAACAATATCTATTGCTTCCTTATCAGTTTTAGTTACAATTGCTATATCGTCCGTGAACAATAGCAAAAACGATACTAAACCATTATTCTCTCTTTTAAAGAAACATTTGTCTTCTACACTTTCCTGAAAATCAATATTATTCATTCCTTTCACTATACACTGGTTCCATTCAAACCCTGATAGTTTTAAACCATAAAGGCTTTTATTTAATTTCCAACAATCAGTTTGATCGTTTGTTTTCACTCCTAACGGCTTTTTCATATAAATAGTATGTCTTAATGGAGCATGCAAGTATGCCGTCTCCACATCTATATGATGAATAATATACTTATTCTTTGCCGCCCACACTAGCATAGTTCTTAACGTGCTAGCTCTTAAACTCGGAGCAAACACCTCATCGAAATCTTTCTCCGTTTGAGCGAAACCTTGAGCTACAGGATGAGCTTTATGGGTTACTGTCCCATCTATACTTTTCTTTACTTTATATACCCATCGACAACCAATCAATTTTTCTCCAGGTGGTAATTTCACATCCTCATAAACACCCAATTTAGTTAATGAGTTGATTTCTCTACTCATTACCTCCTTCCATGCATTTTGCTCTTTTTCAAGATAAATCCTAATATCCTCATAACTTGAAGGTTCTATGTTAACCTGACAAACTACAGTTGTTTTATACCTATCAGGTGGATGTCTTTCCCTACTGGATCTCCTAGGCAATACAGGACTCATTGCAGAGGATTCAATTTCATCCTCCCCTAAAACTACCTCCTCTTCTTCAACCTTAATAGAAGATTCTACATTATCTATATCCTCATCAGGGGTATCGTTACTCATTTGATGCTCAATGCTAACAGTATTGTCATCCTGTCTATAATCTGCACGCTCAAGTTTCTCCCATCCTTCGTGCTCTAGAAATTTTGCATTAGCACTACAGTACACGCTAGTAGTTCCCTGTGCCCAAAATCTAAAAGACCTATGGTTTGAATCATAGCCTACAAAAAACATTTTTCTGGCTCTTTGTTGTTCCTTCCTTCTCACAGTAGATGGAATATGCACCCAAGCTGGGGCTCCAAATGTGTGTAAGTAACTAAGATTTGGTTTCCTCCCATGCCATAATGTAAATGGTATTTCACCAGTAGATGAATGTACCACGTTATTTAACACATGGTTAGCACACATAACAGCTTCACCCCATAAAGTTTCAGGCAAACCAGAATCTGCCAACATTGTTCTAGTCATGGCTTGTAATGTTTGACCCCTTCTTTCAACATAAGCATTGTGTTGTGGTCTATACGGAGCAGATCGTTTTTGCTGTATTCCTGCCTCTTGCAAAAACTTCTCTAACCTTTGGTTAGTGAATTCTGTACCGTTATCTGTCACTAAGCACATTACTTTATACTTTTGTTTCCTTTCAACAAATCTCAGCCAGTTAGTTATATGCTGAAATGTTTGACATTTCGTTTTCATAAGATAACAGAATCTGTACCTAGAGTAATGGTCTACTATGCTCAGAATATAGCAGGCACCTCCAATACTGGGTTTCTTGGGTCCAATCAAATCTACAAACACTACCTCTAATGGCTTTTTGGTTTTAAAACCATTAAAACAATTTGCTGGTGTTACTTTACTCTTTTGCTGATTACAGGCGTTGCAATTCAAATACTTACTTCATGAGTGTAGTTTTATACCTTCAGATAGCTGAACTGTTTTCTTTAACGACCTAAAATTTATATGCCCTAGTCTCCGATGTAATAGATGAATATAGTCATCATGTGGTTTATCATTCCTGTACACCGGTTTAGAATTTGCTACTAATGCTGGGTTCTCTCTTAGAATGAATAAATCATTTTCTAATATTGCAGTAACAACCTTTCTGTCTTTTTTGATAATACATTTATCATTCTTAAACGTTACTGTAAACCCAACTTGCAATAATGATTTAACAGATAGTAAATTATACTTTAACCCAGGAATATATAACATAGGCAATGGTTCATTACTAAATGACCAATGTGCAACACCCTCTCCAGCTACCTTAACCTTCCAACCATTTGCTAATCTAACATGTTGGTTACTCTTATTCATTTTTACAAAGTTGTTTCTATTTTTAGTAATAGATTGAGAAGCACCACTATCAACAACCCACCAATCCTGGTTAACATTAGTTGTTGAACTGGATATAGCTAAATTACAACCCTTCTTGGGTCTATTATTGTCCCTAACAGACATTTTCCTATTCTTACAATACTTAGCTATATGCCCTTTAGCCCCACAAGCAAAACATCGTTTTACAACATAGACAGTTGAATACATTTTGTCTTCTTTTGGTTGGTTTACTCTCAACTGATCCCTCTCTTGTCTTCTTCTGGATTCTTCAAACAACCTACCGGTTACGCCAGCCAATGTGAGGTCATCTCTGGTCAAAACCTCCAGTGAAGAAACATAGTCGTCATAACTATCGTCCAAAGAAGAAAGAATTATATAAACCTGCTGTAGTTCGGAGAAAACAAGTTCCTTTTCGTGCAGCTCCTGGAAAATTCTGGTCATGGATTCCAAATGAGCCATCATATCTCCTCCTTTAAGAAGATGTTGTTTAAACAATTTCCGTGTGAGATTTATATGAGCACCCACAGTGTCACGAACATATAGTCTCTTTAACTTGGTCCAACACCTAGCAGCAGACTCTTCGCCATGAATATGGACAAGTTGCTGGTCACTCAGTGTCAGTCCAATTATACAAAGAGCTCGTTTGTTGTGTCTGGCAAATTTGGCTAATTTCTTCGCATCTTCATTGTCATCAGGATTCCATGTTGTTACATCCGGTGGATTATTTATTACATCCCAAAGTCCTCTACGCAGAAGTAGATTACATTTTGTAGACCAGGATACATAGTTTGTTCCATCCAGCCAGGTTATCATGGAAATATTCGATAACTGTTCTTGTGCCATCTTCACTTGAATTATATTTCACAAACACAGTTTTCTGTATTACTCACATTAACTCTCAGTTTAGCTCTGAACAATCCTAATTAGTTCTGGTTGACTCTGGGCCCATAACCAATGTTAAGGATATTGTTGTGTTACCAACCAGCAGAGCAAGTGCACAGAGAAACGGTACTGAGAGCAATGAATACAATACATACAAACTGGTTTAACAAAGCTTTTACTTTGTAGTGAAAAACAATTGCATAGTCTTTTAGTCAATCCAAGTCTTTAGCCATTCAAATCAGTCCGAAGTTACAGATATCTTCTTACCATACAAACAGCAGTAGGTAATAAACAGCAATTCAACGCTGATAACAAATCATGATGGTAGCAGATCCATCCACTTCTTCACACACGACGGTAACAGTTCCAACCAACAAGTCAAGCAATAAGTCAAGTAACAATGACTATAGCTTGGCTCTCTCCTTATATACAGTTTACACTAGTAATTATCCACTTAAAATAAGTGAAGTCAGCAGTGCAATGACTCAACAGTACAATTGAGATAATTGTCAGCAGTCAGTCAGCAGTCAATTACAATGACTCATCAGTATAATTACTCAGCATTACATCTTAAAGTTACAGAATACATTTAAAGTGATAGAACACATATATTGCCTGGACAACTTGTTAGGCTTATACCATATCCTAACAAAGCCTCCTACAACTGACCCCATCTCAGACACACCAACAACAGCCAAACCTCCTACAACTGACCCCATCCCATTGGGTTCACAACCCTGAGTGATCACAGAAAAGGAAGTGATCTTTGTCTGTGACCTATTTCATAGACAAAAGCCAGGAAAAGCTCCAGGCCCAGACAAGATAACTCCTTCTTGCTTAAAAGTCTGTGCTGACCAATTGGCCCCATCTTCACCCATATCTTCAATAAATTGCTAGAGATGTGCTATGTTCCTTCTTGCTTCAAATGCTCTACTATCATCCCAGTGCCAAAGAAGCCCACCATCAAGGAACTGAATGACTACAGACCAGTTGCTCTAACATCTGTAGTCATGAAAACCTTTGAAAGGCTAGTGCTGACCCACCTGAAAACCATCACGGATCTGCTATTAGACCCCTTGCAATTTGCATATCGAGCAAATAGATCAACAGATGATGCTAGAATAGAATAAAACTTTATTACGGTCATCGACCAGCAATAGACAAACAATAAATTAAAAATAATTCTAACATTATTCATGAATAATAACATCTCTGTAATAAAATACATGATCTCAAACCTAATTTACATGCGTGTAAGTATGTGGGTAAATGTATTGTTATAGATCTGAAAAAATTGGCACCATTTGATATTATAATTCGGTAACCAATTTTTTTCTTGTGGACATTGCAGCGACACAGAATTTTGCCACTGCACACGTGGTAGCTGGATTAGAGTCTTGGAGGAGAAAGCCTACATAAAAGTCATCTGTCCTCCCTGGCAATCTCTCTAGTAAGGGGAGAATGTATATTGACCTACATACTCTGTATTACTCACAATACAATAAAACATGTGAGACATCTTTGACTTCTCCCTTTCCACATATGCATACCCGTTCTGCTATTGGTGTTCTCTTGTACCTACCCTGGAGAAGTGCTGAGGGGAGAATATTAAATCTGGCTCTGAAGAAAGCTATTCTTTGTTTTGGGAAGATCAGATCATTTAGATATCCTGCTGATTCCCACACACCCTGCTTGATTCTGTCCCTACTGTGGAGAGGCAACCTATTTAGTTCTTCTTGGAACTCCATGTCCTTCATTCTATCAATTACCACTTGCTTTGCTTTGTCAAAGCCAAGGGACATTAAGAATACCAATGAGAGCCCGTAAGAGACCAGCTTGTGATCTATTGCCTGTTTCCAGAGGGAGGGGAAGTTGTCAGTCAGCACTAGTGGGGACAGTCCCTCTGGAAAGTAATGAATTTTCAGCCAATAAATGATCATCATCTTCCAGGCTCTTACCTGAATTTGAGGCATATCTGTCTCAATTCTTAACTGGGCATTTGGAATTCCTTTGAGTGCAGCTAAGATGGCTCGCAGGAATTTGGTTTGTATAATTTCTAGCAAGTTTTTCTTTGCAAGGATTCCTGTTTGTGCCCAATAAAGAATTTGCGCCAATGTTTTGGCCTCAAAAAGTTTTAAGGCAGCAGGTACTAACTGACCTCCGCCTGTATAAAAGAAGTATTTAATTGCATTTGAGGACCTATTGGCTGCTTGCAATGTTTGCTCCAGGTGTGCCTTCCATGTCCCTTGCGAGTGGAAGACCACCCCAAGATATCTAAATGTCCTAACCTGTTCCAATCTGTGTCCTTCAATTTTCCAGGAGTATTGTCTGGGTCTTTTAGCAAAAACTAAATTTTTGATTTATCAAAGTTAAGGACCAACTTGTTCTGTCTACAGAAGCCAAGTGTTGCCCTAATTGCTCTCTTCAGTCCTATGGGTGTTTGTGAAATAATAGCAGCAGCAGCAGCATAAAAGAGAATCGGGATTTTGCATTGTGCTATATTAGGAGGATGTAGGTCAGGGTTCTGTAAGAGATCAATCGGGGTTAATATAGAAGTTAAAAAGGGAGGGGGACAGGATGCAGCCTTGCCATACCCCTTTTTGAACCCTTACTGGGTCAGTTAAAAGTCCCTTGAGGATTACACCTCACTTTCAAGGTGGAATTGGCATACAATTTTTGTATGAGGAAAAGGAGGCGTTTATTGATTGTAGTGGATTCTAATTTCTCCCATAGGGTGTTCCTGGATATTGAATCAAAAGCCTGCTTAAAATCAAGGAAGGCCATGTAGAGAGAGAATTTTTTTTTGTAAGTGCATTTTTGCACCAGATGGTGAAGTATCAGGATATGATCCACCGTAGATCTTCCTTCTCTAAAACCGGCTTGTTCATCCTTGATTATCCCTCCTGAAATTAGCCAATCCTGGAGTTTATAGTTTAGGTGTTTAGCATACAATTTACTAATAACACTCAAAGACTAATGGGTCTATAATTTCCTGGATCATTTCTATTACCCTTTTTATAGATTGGTATAATAATTGCTAATCCCCAATCTCTTGGCATACAGCCTGTTTTATCTATAAATGTAACCAGCGATTCTAAAAGTGGGGCCCACCAACTGGTGTTCTTTTTGATTATTTTTGGGAGGACATTATCAGCACCAGGTGCCTTATTAGTCTTGAGGGATTCGATCAGCCTGATACCTTATCTGATATGACAGGGGGCCAGTAAGCAGTTTGGTCCAAGCCAATTTGGACCAAACTCTCCTTACTTACATAGTTGGGGTCTGTATATAGGTCTCTAAAATATTCTTCCCAGGCCTGACTCGGTACCTGATTAATTAGGGGTACGGGGGATTTCACCAATCCTGTGGTGATGTACCAAAAGAGGGATGTATTCTTTGTCCTGACTGATGTAATTAATCTCTGCCAAGACTCCTTCAAAGCCACACTTTTCTTTTAGGAGGGTCTTATATTGTGCTTTCAACTGTTTTAAGAAGTGTGTGCGATCCTCAGAAGGGTCATTTTTACTTATTCTGTATTCCTATTGTTAAGGATATTGGTGTTGTGTTACCAACCAGCAGAGTAAATGCACAAGGAAACGTTGCTGAGAGCAATGAATAAGAGATATGCAAACTGGTTTATCAAAAGCTTACTTTATAGTAGAAAAACAGTCTCATAGTCTTTAAACAAATTCCAAGTCTTTGCCAGTAAAATCAGTCCAGTAGTTACAGATATCTTCTCACCAAACAAACAGTAGTTGGTTAGAATAACAAACTCACTCTGGTTCACAAACCACGATGGTAACAGATCCATCCAATAATGATTAGCAGATAGCAACTCCTCTCAATGGTAGCATATCATCAGCTCCACAATGGTAGCATATCATAACAACTTCATCATCAAACTGAATACTTTACAATACCTTGCTTAAATACTCTCACAACCAGTCATTACCTAATTACAGCATGACTCAGCATTAAAGCCTTAAAGTTACACAATAGATATTCATATTAAAGTCACAGAACACATATATTGCCTGGACAACTTGTTAGGCTCAAACCATATCCTAACATTCTCCCCTTTGGACGGGTCAATATATACAGTTTAGATTCTTAATCCATAGCTTTCACAACATATTTTATGTTTTATAGCACCTTGCGCTTTGGTAAAATTATCAGCTATATTGTCTTCCGACATACAGTATTCCAACTTAACCATGTTGCTTTGGATACACTGACGAACATTCAGATACCTAATGTCACTATACTTAGACCTAGTTTTAACTGCTAAATTTGTTGCCATTTTAATAGCAGCTTGATTGTCCTCATGTATTTGAAGGTTCAATGTTAACCTGGCAAACTACGGTTGCTTTATATCGATCAGGTGGATGTCTTTCTCTAGTAGATCTCCTAGATAATACGGGACTTACAGCAGATGGTTCATCTGACTCCTCCCCTAAAACCACCTCCTCTAAACCTACTTCCTGTTCTTCATTCTTGATAGAGGATTTTACATTATCTAAATCCTCAGGAATATCATCAGGAATATGATGCTCTATACTAACAGTATTATTATCATGTCTATAATCTGCACGCTCTAGTTTATCCCATCCTACGTGCTCTAGAAATTTAGCACTTGCACTACAGTAAACACTAGTAGTTCCCTGTGCCCAAAATCTATAAGATCTATGATTTGATTCATAGCCAACGAAAAACATTTTTCTGGCTCTTTGTTGATCCTTTCTCCTTAAACTAGATGGAATATGTACCCAAGCTGGGGTTACAAATGTGTGTAAGTAACTAAGATTTGGTTTCCTCCCATGCCATATGGTGAATGATATTTCTCCTGCAGAGGAATGAACCATGTTGTTTAACACATGGTTAGCACACATAACAGCCTCACCCCGTAAATTTTCAGGCAAACCAGAATCTGCCAACATAGTTCTAGTCATGGCTTGTAATGTTTGACCTCTTCTCTCGATATACGAATTGTGCTGTGGTCTGTACGGCGCAGACCGTTTATGCTGGATCTCTGCATCCTGCAAAAACTTTTCCAATCTTTGGTTGGTAAATTCTGTACCATTATCAGTCACTAAGCATTTAACCTTAAATTTCTGTTTCCTTTCCACAAAACGTAGCCAGTTGTTAATATGCTGAAATGTTTCACTTTTTGTTTTCATTAGATAACAGAATCCGTATCTTGAATAATGGTCTACTATGCTCAGAATATAGCAGGCACCTCCTATGCTGGGTTTTTTGGGTCCAATTAGGTCTACAAACACTACCTCTAATGGATTTTGGTTTTAAAACCATTAACACGGTTTGCTGGTGTAACCCTACTTTTCTGCTGACTACAGGCATTGCAATTCAGATATTTACTACAGGCTTGTAGTTTTATCCCTTCAGATAACTGAACTGTTTTCTTTAACGTCCTGAAATTTAAATTGCCCAAGTCTCCGGTGTAACAGATGAATACATTCATTATGTGGTTTAACATTCTTATAAACAGACTTAGACTTAGCCAGCAATACTGGGTTATCCCTTAAAATAAATAAATCATTTTCTAAACTTGCAGTAACAACCTTGCCATCTTTCTCAATAAAACACTTATCATTTTTAAATGTTACTGTAAACCCAAATTTCAATAATGATTTAACGGATAATAAATTGAATTTTAACCCAGGAATATATAACATAGACAATGGTTCATTATTAAATGACCAACGAGCAACACCCTCTACAGCTACCTTAACCTTCCAGCCATTTGCTAGTTTAACATGTTGGTTACTCTTCTCTAGTTTAACAAAAAAATTTCTATTTCTAGAAATTGATTGAGAAGCACCACTGTCAACAACCCAACAATCCTGGTTAACATCAGTAGTTGAACTGGATATAGCTAAATTACAACCCTTCTTGGGTCTAGTATTGTGCCTAACAGACATTTTCTTATTCTTACAATACTTAGCTATATGCCCTTTAGCCCCACAAGCAAAACAACGTTTTACAAAATAGGCAATTGAATACATTTTTTCTTCTTCTTTTGGTTATTGCATTCTCAACTGATCCCTTTCTTGTCTTCTTTTGGATTCTTCCAATAACCTACTGGTTATGCCAGCCAATGTCAGTTCATCTCTGGACAAAACCTCTAACGAAGAAACATAGTCGTCATAACTATCGTCCAAAGAAGAAAGAATTATATAAACTTGTTGTAGTTCTGAGAAAACAAGTTCCTTTTCATGCAGCTCCTGGAAAATTCTGGTCATGGATTCCAAATGAGCCATCATATCTCCACCTTTAAGAAGATGTTGTTAAATAATCTCAGTGTGAGATAAATATGAACACCCACAGAGTCATGAACATACAGTCTCTTTAACTTGGTCCAACACCTAGCAGCAGACTCTTCGCCACGAATATGGACAAGCTGCTGGTCACCCAGTGTTAGCCCAATAATGCAAAGAGCTCGTTCATTGTCTCTGTTAAACTTGGTTATTTTCTTCACATCTTCCTCATCAGCAGGATTCCA